GGGAGGGAGGGAGGGAGGAAGGGAGGAGAGAGTGAGTCATACTGGGGAGGCCAAGGGCAGGGAATGCTACATGTTCAAAAACTTTGCAGGTGGGTTGTCAAACAGCCATTACAAAAAATTAGGGGCTGGGGAGATGGTTCAGTGGAATAAGTGCTTCCCTGGCAAGCACAAGGGCCTGAGTTCAATTCCTGGTTCTGAAAAAAAAAATAATAATAAAATAAATTTACTGAATTATATTATGAACCAAGATAACACACCCTCAAAATTCATCATTTCTGATTACCTGACTCCATCTGACTGTGATCTTTGCCCAGGGTGGTTTACATATAGCATATCTGTCTGGTGGAAATACTTCCTGCTGTTGAATGCCCCCATCACGTCTCATCACTCCACACGGCGGCATCATACTGCTTGCATAAAATGGCTGTGGGAAAATATTTACATCACGGAAATCATAGTACAAATAAGGGATTCCCCATATCCAGAGCTTTTGGGTCAATAGTTCCCAATATACATGGCCCATAGTTCATTCATAATGTGCCCAAACATTAGAAGAGCTTGGAAAAGCCTTGAGCTATTTGTCACTGTGTTGAAATGCCCTCTATTAGCATTCTATCTTATGAAAAGTACCTGTGTCTTAGTAGATCTGGACCAGAAGATGCCTTGGCAAAGTGCTCAGGATCTAAGAGAAAATCCAGGAAGGCCACAGTTGTGGGCTCCCGAGGAGGGAAGAGATGTCTAGGTACAGGTTAGGGGCAGGCCAAGGCCAGGGAACAGAAGATGGGGTTGTGGCATGGAAGACTTTGAGGCTCACCTTATCTCCCCTTATTATGGTTTTGTGTCTAGTTGTCTCCCCAAAGCCTCATGAAGTCATGGGGAAGACTTCTAGAGTTTGTGATTAATTCATGATCCAAGGCTGGGATTATGGGTCTGAGTACTGCTGGGATTATGGGTGTGAGGGCTACACCCGGCTGAGGCAGATAGCCTGAGGGCAGTATGAGGAGGAGAGACTTGCTCTCTGTGGCCGTCATTGCTGCTGCCACTCCCTTTGCTCTTGCTATTTGCTGCTGTGTGAACTGCTGCTCTGCCTTGGAGCCAGCAGAGTATGGACTGAAACCTCCACTAACTGTGAGCTAAGTAAACCTCTTCTTCCTTCAATTTTAAGCATTGGGTATTTGTCCCAGAAACGAGAGAAGAGTAACTGAAACACCCCTTGTCTGGGCCCAGCCCCAAATTCTCTCTCTTCCTCTTCTTAGCCATGCAGAACCCAGGAGCTCCGAAGCTCCAGCTTTGGATCGCTACCTGGTGCTACGTCCAGGTTGCAGCTCCCTTTCTCCTGGAACTCCACACTTGCAAATGGCCAGGGGCCTGTGCTGTTGGTCTGCGTGCTGCAGTTGGGACCAGCACCCCAGCCAGAATCTTCTAGAGGCTGAGTCTCCAAGAGTGAGTGATGGACCCATAAAAAGCAAGGCTACCATGTGGAGTTGTGACACGTGGCGCTGATCTCTAAGGTCCATGGGGTTATCAGTGAAAAGATCCCTGATGTATAGGTTCTGGTCTGAGTCTTTTGTGAAGGATTAACCTGTCTAGAAACAAAAGAAAAGTTTTGGAGTTGTCTTCTCGTGTCAGCAGGAGGGCTTGTGACCACAGGTGGGCTGCATCAGCAGTGCTGTGGGCAGCAAGTCCAATCTCAGGGAGCTTAGATGACCAAGCCCGGGTCTTGTTCTGGAATTTCTCTCACTGCTGTAAATAGCCTGTAAATATGTGCCACGTTTTCCTGCAGCAATTCAAACAACATAAAGTTAACCACTCTAAGTTCTGGAACTCCATAGTTAGCACCTCCACAGTATTAGGCAATCTCCTCCTCTTCCTAGTTTCACAAGTATTCTGACATCATCCCTGGAGATAAAGGTTGATGAGCTGGAAGTATTCCAGATGGA